ATATGAAGAATTCAGAAATTGGTATTTTAAAACTATGAGTTCAGAAGAACTTTAACATTATAAAGAAATGTTTCTCCTTTATATAAAAAGGGAAAGAAAGATAATTTCTTTTGTTAATTGGTTTTTAACTTATTATGTTCCTCTTACTATTGAACATTTAAATGTTATAGAAATTTTTCAACATAAATGGGAAACACTTGATGAAAAACTATAAATAGTTTTTAGAGCCCAACAACTGAACCTATAAAGTTACATTTAAATAACTTTGAAGAAATTTTTATAAATGTTTGTTATATAGGCAACACTGTTTCTATTAAACAAAATAATTATACCAATGTTTGTCTCCAAGCTATATGTCAACATCTCACTAAAGTTGAAAATTTAATACATTCACAATAGGCTTCGTCTTCACAATCTTTCAAAGATAATGATCTTGAACAAGTCAACATCAAACCACCGGTTGACACTTATAACTTCAATCTTCATAATAAAATAGAAGATGAGTTCACAAATGCACTCAAAGATAAATTAAATGGACTATCTTTAAATGTCATTTCAAAAGGTGAAGAGCAATCTAAAACTGAAATTCAACAATTTGAAGATTTTTTACACCAAATACAATCCGAAGAAATAAATAAAATTGGATTATCTAAACCAAAAACTAATCATTATTAGCAGGAGCCTCCTTTAAGAGCTTATTATCAAAGATCTACTCCTCAAGAAATTTTATATGAAAAAAGATTTTTAATTGATCAAAGTGGATATGATGCCTCTTCAATTTATGTCATGGAACTAAATTTTTGATACTTAAATGTCAAATCACTTTAATTGAAACCAATACGGTTAAAAATAAAATTGAAGTCCCAAAAACTATTAAATAGTCAGATATCCAGTTTTCAGACACTTGACAATTGGACTATGTGATTCCTAAAAAACCAGAAATAAATATCGAAATAACTCAGATAGCCTAATCATCTCAGGGTGATGTTACAATAAAATTTGCTAAGATAAATTCTAGAAATTTTTTAAATTCTTCTGATAAATCAAAAACTTCATCAGGTTATAATAAATCTTTTATACCTTTAAGAAAATCCACTGTTCATAGTCAGAAAAATACATTTTTTCTCCGAAATTACGATTTTGTCACTAAACATTCTAATTTTGATCCATATAACTATTCTAAGATTTTTTGACATTCCAGATTCATTTTTAATGTTATTTTAACCTAAAAATATTTAATTTTATGATTTATCTTAAAACTAAATTAATTTACACCCGAAACACTAAAATTAATATTTTACCCTGTTGAACCGCTATATGAGCTAAATGGCTATTACAAAATTTTCGAATCTCTCGAATTCAATGGTAATTTTAATTTGATCTAAAAACATTAATATATTTACTTAATTACCCTTATCAACCTTAAACACAACCAAAAATTAAATTTGAAAAAATCAATACGTTCGTATTTAAAACTTACGCGACTATTCCTTTAACACAATTCGAAATTTCTCTCATCATTTTAATTATTTTAAAAAAAATTAGCAAACTTTATACTGTTCCTAACTTTAATAATTTACAATGACGTCATTGCATACGTCATAAATATTATACACTTTTTACTGTGCACTATTCACAGTCGTTGTAGTGACATAAGAACATACGTCACTTCTTCGTAGTGACGTTAGGGCGTGCGTCACTGCTTCCGAGTCGGCTTTATCTGAAAAATCAGTTTTATCTGATCATTTCTTGAAAAATAAAGTAGATAGTACATTATTTCTATCATTATGGAGATTTATCTCCATATCAACATTTAACAAATCTTCGTTCATTTCGATGTCACCTTTAAGAGGGGTAAATTTCTGAGAATCCATAAAGTCGTTATCAAAATTAATAGAAGTAGGAGATTTTTTATTTTCTTTCTCAATTTTTTCTTTCCATTTGCCTTTTATGGCAACTGTAGGAGTGTTGATGAGATCCATATTCTTTGTTTTACTCATACCAAATGTAGACATGACCTGCAGACGGAATTCCTCCATAACTGTTGCTTTAAGCTTCTTAGAATTTAAATATGATTTTTTTTAATTAGTTCTTTAAGAACTTTTACAGGATTTAAATTATATATATATGATTTAAATTATATATATATCGTAATATGCATAAATGTATATGAAGAGTATTATCTATCCATTTCTATACTATTTTTAAATGTACTCAAATAAGAAACATTTTTAAATACCTATTTTACCCTTTCAAAAAAAAATAAAGACAACTATATCTTTTACACTTTATTATCCTGCATCACTTAAATATCTAGATGATCCTCCATATGCACACGAACTATTGTTCATTTATAGAAAGCATTTGTTCCCAATGCAAGTAGTGAACGTTTATATCATCTATTACAAAAAGTAGAATAATATATGGAAAATATTATTTGGACATAAAAATTTGACATAATTTGCTAATTTAATGATGTGGTTTCATTGGAATCATTAGATAAACACCAAGTTGTAATATTTGATGAAGCCCACAGTTAATCCAAAGGTTATCAATAAATTAGATCAATAAATTAAGTTTCAATAGTATTACTCATAACATATTGCATTATTATAATTCATGACTATTTATGAATAATAGAAAGGGAATAAAGTCATATGACAGTTTAGCATTCCAACCGTCAAAAACTTCATCTATACTTCATCGGCTAAGGTGCAGAACTTTTTGTTACCTCTTCTACCCCTAATTATTTTTATAAAGTCAGTCCCATTTATTCTCAATCACATTTGTTAGTTAGCCTTAAAAGCTTTCACAAACTCGTTGTCTGCTTACAACTAATCGTATACCGAATAAAGTAGGGGTCTAGTAGGGTATCGGTCTTACAACTAATCGTGTTCGAGTCTTGGAGTTCACATTGAGATTTGATGATTGACCACTATACTAACCTAATTAGGTCTGGTTCCAAAAGGTATTCTAGGCACGGTCAAGTGCCTTATGATCCCACCGGTGAGGCCTTATCGGGGTAATCGCCAGGCACTCTACCTTACCTCCTCCTCTTTTTTCCATGAGCAAAAAAAAAAAAGAAGAATAAAAACAATGCTCCTATCTCGTGGTATTCTCTATATACAAAGCCCTCTCATTTCATTTGCTTTGCAATACTAAAAAACCGAGACTGGGAGGAATCAAAACGAATGCTTAATTTAGTTGTCATCAGATTTTTAAACCGAGCCTAGGAAAGTTTTGTAGGTCATGCCATGCATACGAGAGGAAGGATTGACTCTAATACTCTAAAAGAGGAGAAAATATTCATCACAACGGTGATATTGTGATATCATGTGACAATGTTGACGTCGTATTATCAATTAATAAAATCAAAACAAATAAATAAATGGGTCTTACTAAAATTAATAATCAGCCCTTCATATAAGCAAATAATTACCCATTCTTTCATAAGCAAATATTTACCTAAGTGGGATTCACCTTGCCTACATGGTGTTTTATTATTGTTTGGTATCACATCAACCTTGTTGATATAGTATTACCGTTGCATTCAATATTTATTCAAAAAAAAAAAAAACATTTGATTGCAATGTATTTGATTATGTTCATTAGAGCGATGTAGTAAAGTGGTATTTGTTTTATAGTAGGGATCCATAAATTTTTCCGGTATTCTTGCCGCTTAGGGAGTGTGCATGTGCAAAGCATATAGTTTTTAAGTGTGAATAGTCTCATATGAATATTCACTTCTTGTTGTCTTTGAATTCAGCCTGCTGGTTTCTCCCTTTTAACTCATTGATGCAATTGTTTTGACATGTTCGTTTGTTCTTCTATTCTTAATTCTATTGACACAATTTTAATTTATTGAGTAATGATATTCAGACCTAAAAATTTGATCTTATTTGTTGACGTGATGATGTGATTTCATTGAAATTATTAGATGAAGAACAAGTTCTAATATTTGATGGAATCCACACTTAATTCAAATGTCATAGCGACTCAGGTCAACAAATGAGATTAAATTTTTAGGTTCAAATAGTATTACTCTAAGTTATTATGATGTGCACGAAAATATATTGATTTTGACTATTTCCTTAGCAAAATACATATTGGTTTTGACTAATGTTTAGAATTGCATTCATTTGTGTTTTCTAGACTAATGACCTTTACCAGCTGGTTTTTTGTGTGTTTTTGCATATGATCTGCTTTGGTAAGAGCAATACATCACACCCTCACTCTTTGTTTGAATTTCTCTTTCTAAACATTAAAAGTATTTATATCTTTGCTGCAACTTGTACAATGTATCTGCTGCTGAATTCATTCTCACAGATGTAAGTGCCAACTTTCTCGGATATAGATGGAATTGTAGATAGATTCTTCTGCATTTTCTCCTCCTCACCCGGTAAACTTTATTTTGGCATTAATTACAACTCTCTCTCTCTCTCTCTCTCTCTCTCTCTCTCTCTCTCTCTCTCCTTCTCTTGTAGCACTTTAGTTTCTTGAGGAAAACATCTTGAATATCTTTCACAAATAAAAAACATGAATATAGATATATCACAAATGTTTATTGTTTAGATTGGGCAGCTTATAATTCTATCAGATAGTAACTTATACTGCTATGATTGAGTTTTGAAAATATAGAATTATTTTTATTTTCAACATGCATAAACTATAAATTCAAGACCCGCTATCGAGAAATGAAAAATAAATAAAATAAGAAAAAAAGAAAACCCAAACTTATGCGGCATAAGTTATGCCTCAATGTCTTAAAAATAAAGAATACGAACATTTCTTGTAATTTTTCCAACTCAAAATTATTCACATGCAACAACTAGTTTATCTAAAAAGTACAGTAGATTAATTATAACAAAATAGTAATTAGGCATTTTTTGATAACATTATATTTTGTAATGACAAATTACTAGCTTTATTAAGGAAGCTACCAAACGGTACAAGTAATTTGCCAAACTCATTGAATTTTAAGCTTTATTAAACCCACTCAATTAAAGCTTCTTACTCATTTGCATTGCTGCATTGAGAAACTCGTCCATGGCTTTCACTGAAGACCCTTTGAAACCTTTTCTTTCCATGGAAGAAGCTCTCTTGATCATCTCTCTAACACCACAAGCTTTCTTCTTCATGTCCTTACCTTTCTCTGTCCCGTTCATCACCAACTCGATCTTTCTCACTATGTCCTCATGCCTGACCTCACTATCAGTCCCACAAGCCAGCCCAACACAAACACCTATCTCTTCCTCCAGCATCTTCGCATTGAAAGGCTGCTCAGCATCCATTGTCCACGAAAGCATTGGGACGCCATTGCTGAGAGCTTCGATCACCGAGTTCCACCCACAGTGGCTTAGAAACGCACCGATTGATTTGTGGGACAGAATTTCCATCTGGGGTGCCCATTGTTGCACCAGTAGTCCTCGGTTGTTGTCTCGAATCCTTCGCTCAAACCCTTTCGGCAACCATTCTAATGATGGATCCGAAAAGTTCGATTCTACGAAGGTTGATGGTGGCCTAGCAACCCAAATGAAATTTTTGCCACTAGCCTCCAGTGCCATGGCCAATTCTCTGGTTTGTGATTGTGAAGGCGTATTTTGTGACCCAAATGCAACGTATAAAACTGAATTAGCTGGTTTGGTGTCGAGCCATCTTATGCAGAGATTCGATATGGTTGCTGCTTCTTTTCCAGCCCGGGCTTTGCTTCCTAGAGGTGACAGAATAGGCCCTAGAGCCCATACTGAACAGCTGAATTGTTTCCTGAAGTACTTCAATCCAGTCTGATCTATCTCCTCCACTGTGTTGAACAGCATTGCATCAGTCTCCAACCATTCTCGGAACATCTTGAGTGCAAACTCCCAAGGACCAGGGACTGTTCTAAGAGACACCGGCAGTTTTTTCACCTGAAAACTATATCCTTCCGGGAAACCAGGGAGTGAAACTTCATCGGAGCTTACATTAAAATGAGGCAGATTCAACCACATAGTGTGAAAGATTGCCATTCCATAACACCCTCCGGCGTTAAAGATTGCATGAAATGAGCCAAATTTGTGAGCAACCGCCGCAGACCACCCGAAAAACATGTCGGAGATGACACAAAGTGGTGGCCGGCCGTGTTGTTCTTTGACGAGATTAGACATGAGTTTTGTGAAGGCGGGTTTGAGAGAAGGAGATGATTCGACGAATTGGTACATGAGAAGAGGAGAGAGTGACTCGGTGGTTTCGGAGTTTGGAGGGAGGCCATGGTCAGTGCTGTTGAAGGGGATTTCAAGGAAGCGAATGGAAGAGTTTGGAGGAAGAGATGCTTTGAGTTTGTGGATGTTGAGAGGGGTGTTGACAAAAGCTATGGTGTAACCCTTTTGCTGCTCCAGTTTGAGTGCTAGTGCTAAGAAGGGGATTATGTGGCCTTGTGCCATGAATGGGAACATCACTATATTTTCTTTCCTTTGTGCCATTCTTGCTTCTTTGGGTTGGAAGAAGGTATGGCTGTACTTGTGTGTGTGTGTGAGAGAGAGAGAGAGAGATGGGCAGAGACAGAAAGAGAGATCTAGTGAGTGATTTACCCTTCTGGCAGGGCTACGATTTATAGGAGGAGGGAGAGAAGGAAAGCAGAGAGAGAAGAAAGGTGGTGGTGACCAAAAAAACAATAGAACAAAGTTACAAAGAGACCACCGTAGAAGGGGTGTCAATTATCTCCTGTTCTTGTGAGCTACATATTCTATTATTCGTATTATTGTTATTTAAATTTACAAAAAAAAAATCTATCTAGTGTGTTAAGAGTATTAAATATTAATCTAAATTATTTATTATACATATTTAATAATCGTATCAATTTTATAATCATTCGTATCGGCTTCGTGCCCAAGTCTGTTAGAGTTGACACCCTGTATAAAAGCTTTAAGAGCACTGCAACTTAAAAGGTGGACCACCAGACTTTGCTAAAACCATAAAGCAGTAATGTACATTGAAACAAAACCAAATATAGATCTCAGCATATGAACCGTGAAGCTCCAATTATAAAAGAGAGAAAAATAATTGATTTAGAGAAGCTGAAAAATAATGGTAGGATTGAACACTTAGGGGAGAAACAAAGGAATCATGTTGATAATATTTGAATATATTGTTTTCCTTATTTATAGTAGCAATTCAAAATTCCAAAAATTAAAGGTGGTAAAACAAAGTGTGTGTGATAACGTGCACAAAAAAAAAAATTAAACACATTATGAAATCAAATAGAGAGAGAGTTTTAGCCTTTTTATTAGATAGAGTCTCGATTATAGCGTGGAATCAAAGTGATTAGAGTGGACTAATTAATTATATATAACTTCTTTAATTTGTCTTTGACTGAGGGATAATCAACAATGTTATATGGATTTAAAAAATAGACTTGATAATTAAAATTATTGATTTTACTGTGATTCCAATATTTATTCGGACCTACTACTATTCAATGGTTGAAATTATCAAATCCAATTTTTAAGTTTAATTTTTAAGTTCATTTCGCATTACTCGATGGATAATATATAAGTAAATAGAATAAGAAATTTTAGGATTACAATCTATTTTATTACAATAAATGAGATTTGTGTTATAACAAGTGGGTGAATGCACATGAGCCTTCTAAGTTTTTATATTATAGGAGTGTTTGATAGCTTGTGACTAGGGCTACATTACATGTGGTTTGACTGCCCTAGAATTCTTAGTCTGGAAAACCCTTTAGAAGTGACGGCTAAGTGGAAAAAATATTTATTATAATGGTGATATATATAATAATATTGACATGGTATTATTAATTAATAATATTAAAATAAATAAATAAACTGTTAAAATATTTTAACTAAAAGATTGTTTTTTATGAGTGAAAACCCAATCTCATATCGACTAAATAACTAAAGGTACTTGAGTATATATATATATATATTAGTGTTATATATTCTTATGATATAATTTTTTAGATAATATTCAAAGGTGTGTGAAGCTTTCGCTTCATTCAATTGTACAGATTTGAGTAAAATAACAGTTAATAGATTAGACTATTATATTTTGGAGACGACGCGCTACTATTTGTTGGGCTGTGATTCTTTTATATAGGATTGAGCGACTTACTCTTCTTATATATAAACTAATAAATATCCGAATACCTTGAGGACGTTATAATTGAATTGAAACTTGAACCACGGATGGACTCTACTGCTTCCGTTAGAAATTGCAAACGCAATCATTACGGCATATAGTGGTTTTATATATGTATACTAACAAAGTATGACATATGTCTACGTAACTAAACTTAAATAATAATTTTTAATAAAAAAACATAAATTATATGTATAATTAATAAAATAATAAAATTGAAAAGACTTTATCTTCTTGAAATCAAATATTTAAGTCATCCTCTCCTTTCCCCTTCCCTCCCCCTCCAAAACAAAAAAAATTATTTTAATTATTAATTTATTCTATAAATATTTGAGTATTTAATCTGTCATTTATTTAAGTATCTTATCGACCTCTTTAAGTATTTGTTCATCTAATTATATTATAAAATTATTAATTTTTATTTTAGTAAATAGATAGATTAGATTAGTTAAAATATTGTTATATTATTGCATACTAAAAAATAAAATATAACATATATTTGATCGTAGAATTTGATCTAGTAACTGTATGTTATAATGATTTTATATATATAGGATTTTACTTCTTAATTTGAATATAAAAAATTATATATAAATATACTATTAATAAATAAGTTCAAAAGAATTTAAAAGTTCTTATAAAATAGTTCAAAACAAGTTCAAAGTCAATTAAAACTAAAACAAATATAGATAAAAATATATAGGTATGTATAATAAACTTTATTATAATAATTAAGGATAAAATAAGAAATCAAAAATTTTTCAAAAATATTTATAAATAGCATATATGTATATAGATATAGATGTATAAGATGAAAAAGGAAGACTATCCAAACTTCAGTAGATGAAACACAAAGACGACAGAAGCAAGAAATAGTAGGTTAAGAAAAAGATAATACTATGATGAAAGCACAATATATTTCGGTGCAATTTTGGAGGATTATTCATTTGGATATTTTGCATTATTCATCTGGATCTTTTGCTATACTTTTCGATTGAAATTTAGGTAAATGGTTTATTTTATAATATACCTTCGTATCTAAATCTCCTTGCAAAAAGTTTGTTTCATTATTATGGTTGTTGTATTCTAAAGTTTTTTTTTTTTTTTTGAATTGGAGTTGTATTGTAATTAATTGTTCAATCGTTGTGGTTTCGTTTAATGTATTGTGCTATTGATTGTGTAAAAGATATTTTTATTGGTGAAGTGCTTTGGAATTTATTGGCACGTGCCACAAGCGCACTTGATGGCATAATTATGGGAATGAGACGTGATTGTGGCCTAGAAGAACTGTGTGACAGTGGAATGCACCGAAATGAAGCCATTTTATGTGATTGGTCAAATATATTTGTGTTTGCGAAATAATATCATTTTAACTCATGTTTCCGTGCTTGATTATCGGTGATTGTTCGATTATCGTTGGACCTTTGATTTTGTATGTTGTATTGATTACTCACTCTCATTTACTCCTCATGCACAGATTCGACATGAAATGGAAGACATTAAAAATTTTGATGGATCGAAGATTAAGGTGATTATAACATTTGTAATTATTTTAAAAGATGAGCAAATTTTTTTTTATTGATTGAAGATTTTAATACTATATATTATTTGAAATTAATAGAATTTTACTTCGCGCACCGGATTCGAGAGGGTTAGAAATGTCATTATACACCCATTTGGTTTACTTGAAGCTTTTTTAACAATGGCTGACATAATATAGAAGTGATCTCTCTTAATTGATGTTAAGTATCACATGTTATGTCAGACTGGTACCATTGGGCTAGGGGTAAATGCGCACCCTCAGATTTTTTTATATATTTAATTTTGTCTATTCAATTATTATGTCCTCGTAATATGGATTAAGATAAAAAAATTTATACCTAAATGATTACTAACTTTTGATCAATATTATGGAAACCTAATTTCAGTACCTAATATATTATGACATTAAGTTTAATAGTGAGTCTCAATATTAAATAAAGTTCACTATCCACGGTTCAGATATGTGTGAATATATTTTGGACATATTAAGGAAATTATTGTAATTTTTTAAAAATATATAATTATTTTATTGTTACATAGAAATAAGTGTTCTTATGTAAGAATCTACGAAATCATAAATAAAAGATTGTTACCATAATTTTATATATAAAAAAAAGAATATTTGTTTATGATATTGATTTCTAACACTTCAAAAAAAAAAAATTATTAGAGTCAATTGTAAATTATAATAATTAGTCTTATTTTTTGTACTAAATTATTATTAATTTATTTTTTATTTCTTGTGTATACCTGATGTAGATCAATTTTTAATTTTTTATATTTAATAAACTTTGAAGTTTTTAAATATGATTTCAACAAATATGCATTTATAAACTTCTACGTCTTTGATAAAAAATTTTAAAAAAAATTTTACGAACAATTGAAAAAAATTATATATATAACTTATTAATATACCCATCCATCCTAAACTAATTTTTTGGCTCCACCCCTGCCAGGTATCCTATAAGTATGGAACATTTTTTCGCTCCAAAGTCCCGTTCGATTTTCAAAAAGTGGGATAGTTTAAATAATAATACAAATAAATTACTAATTCAAATATTTTGAGTTTAAATTTTAATAATTTTTCTAATTTATGAAGAATTTATTCCTCATAAATCATTATCTCAACGTAAATAACTTGTTTTTAATTAAATCAAAAAATAAATTAATAAAAATATTCATAAACTCATTCGAACATTTATGTTCGTTGAAGAAAAAAAAAAAAAAGCAGCAGAAATTATTTCGTGATACACACCAGGCGGCTTGAGACACATGGCGTGTGCACCCATTTAAATAATGCCCCTTCACCGTGTTGTCCGGCAAAACGTTTAAATGGCCAGCACAAAGAATCAATTGGTCCCCTTGGCTGAACGTTGACGGGAAAATTTTTTATATATAAAAATTGCATTAAATCAGACATTTCATTATTCAATTTGAATCCATTAATTGAGTAATTTTATTATGATAAAATATACGAACTTAATTTGTATATTTAATAAAAAATTAATGTTATTGGACATAAAAATTTAATTTAATTTAATTTGTTGAGATGTAGAAGTTGACGTGATCCAATAACATTATATTGAACATAAATTTTAATTTTTTTATTGGGATTATATCACTTAAGATATCGTGAGTTCAAAAATAAAAGTTTTTAAATGTTTGTGAGATAAAATTTTATTGCCAAAAAATACAGAATAATAATCACTTTTTGGTAGCAACAAAAATTGGTTAATTGTATATACGGGTAAGATTATAATACCGAAAAGTTATTTTTTTA